AAGAAGTCCTCATTTACTGGTTATAACAGTATTTCTGATTTGTGTGGTCAGAGTATAATGAACAAATGTATATAGGACAAAATTTATAAAATTTTTAATAATTTATCATGGTTTTTCCCAATGTATTGTCATCGTGTCATCTAACAATATTGAAAGTTAGATGTCTATAGTCCTTATCTAAGGAAACGAAAACTGGGTAGAGAGGAGATGAGGAAGCCCAGAATTTCACAGCCTGTGAAGGAATCCAGAATTATTTCACCTAATTTTTATATGTTCTCGAATATGATGATATAAAATGATGCAGAAGCAAATTAAGACAACTTTATGAATTATGGTACTTAAAATAAAGTTGAGGAACAAATAATTTCTCATTACCATTTCACTGAAAAAGAAACCACTGGTACAGAATATTCTGGCTGCATAATGTAAGGAGATGCTTACCTAGCAGGTCTTTCCAGGCTCCTGTCTATAGAGGATTGATACAAGGAGGCCTGTTGAGACAGAAAAATAGTTCCATAAGAAATTTTTACCATGGCAAAATTTCCTTTGTCCCTGGACATTAAATTAGGTATCCTAGAAAGAATATTGTCAAAATTGAGATTAAGAATACCATTTACTATGGTCATAAAAATGTCTTCCCAAACAGAAATCATACAATCTAATTTCTACTTCTTCCTATCTACTTTCGCTTCTGATATCCTTTACCCCTTGGTATCTGAGGGGGATTGGTTCCAGGACTACTCCCCCGCCCACCCCGAGGATACAACAATCTGAGGATGTCCAATCCCTTATATAAAATGGTTGTAGTATTTGCATATAACCTGCCATTTCTAGCTTACTTATAATACCTAATACAGTGGAAATGTTATGTGAACAGTTGCTGGCATGGCAAGTTCAAGTTTTGACTTTTGGAAATTTCTGGAAGTATTTTTTCAAAAATATTTTTGTTCCCAAGTCGGTTGAATCTGTGAATGCAGAACCCATGGGTATGGAGGGCTGGCTGTACTGCCCTGCATTTCTCTGTGTAACTCAAAATATCCACAACCCAAACACTGCTGGGGAGAAAAAAGAAAAATCAATGACCACTCTTTCATGTAGAAATAGGCTGTAAATATAAATTTCTTACATAAAGGAATGGTTTGATGTTTAAAGAAATACTTGTAGTCATCATTCAATCCTTATAAAAGATTTCTTTATAAATTTTTTGTCATGTGGCCAGGTGTTATCTTTAAATAGGCATAAAACCTAAGCAGAACTTTCATCTGTCAACATAGACATGACATTTTCATAAAAACCAGAGAATTTGGTTTGAAATTAAACCAGACTACCCGGTACTTAAATCAGGTACAGATTTATATCTTTGAAATTAGTTAAGTTCATAGTTAGTTTAAAATAAATGATTTAATGAACCAAAATAAACACTTTTTTAAAAAGTGGATTTTAACACTTTAGTCAGAAAATCAACTCTCAGTTACCCATGGTTGTAGGAATAAAGAAAAATAAATAATACAAATTGATAAATAATTCCAAGTGTGTATTATACCACACCATTTTCATACTCTTTCATTCTGAACATACAATGAAATAGATATTGAGCAAAAATATTAGATACAAATTTAAGATGACTGTAGTTGCATGATGTCTAGAATGTATAGGGACGTGCATACCAAGTGTGTATATATATATATGCACACACAGTGTATATAAAGTCTTGGCTTTGGTCATATTTGATGATCAGTTCTTCATCACAACTAAACTGCAGTCTGATAAAGAACTGAAATTCTAGTTTGAAAATGTTCTTCTGTATGAACGTTTAAAAATGTCAGCCAGAAAGGCAGGATTTGACAAATTTTATCTTAAATTCCCATCACACAGAAATATTTCACTGGAGTTTAATAAACCTACTTAGTGGAAATTAGACCACAATTTAAAAACTATTTCTATAGCTTTATTTTCTATTTGTAAATTAGCACTAATTAATGAATTGAAATATTAGTATATAGTTCTGACATTCTTTATGTAGATCAGTCTGACAAGTCCCCTTATGCATAACTCTAAAATTGCTACTTTGACTAATATTTTCACTTAATTCTGTCTTTACTGAATGAGAACGAAATTGCCCAGAAACAAACAAAAGCATCTCTTTGCAAGAGAATATTATCCCCTCTTTTTAAACAGAAAAAAGCATATATTATTTTAGTTCATATAAAATATTTAGATTCCTAAGTTCTCAAGAAATATAAAGTTAGAAAAAAATTTCGTCTGCTGATGGGTAAGTTTACATGACTATTTTAACTTGCTGAATTATGAATTGGACACTGGAAAGGTGGAAAGATAAATACTAAATAATAAGGAAGGCAAATAAGTAAATAAATAAAACCAGATAATCATATTCCGATTTAGAAATATTAATAAAAATTAATAGAATTAAAAATTAATTCTGCATGTTTGCAGAAGAGCAACACGAAAGCAACTCAGAACATTGCCATCCTGTTGATTGTGGCTTTCGTGAGACACCCAGCCACAAGCCACAGTTGGCCATCAAAAAGTGTCAGTTTCAGAACACTCTTAAAACAACCCTAGAGTGATCAGAAATTTTGAATCACCAGCATGAGCTAAGCAATACTGTAACATGAACTAAACGTAGTGTAAGAAGTGAAGGCTCCATGATGATAAATTAACTGTATTTTAGACTTAGGCTAAGAAACTACAATTGTTCCTCCTTTGCTGATTTCCACAATCCAAAATAAACTTTTTGTGATTTTTATGTATGCTTAAAGGGAAAGGTTCAGTATTAAATTATAAGGAAATAGTAAAAAATCTAGTAGATGACTAAGAGAAAAACTTGTATGATAATTATGTGAATGATACTCATTCTGAAATGGAAGTTGTCTCCAGAAAAGAGGTACCTGTTTACCTATGATGCTTTACTGAATATTTACATATTACCATCATTTTAACACATCTCAATGAAGCTCATTTTAATAAAGTGTAGACAATGAATCACTCTTTCTGCTAAGTGATCATGCTCTTAAACTTTGCTTAAAAGTCCTTAATTTTTCTTTATTAATGCCGTTTCTCAGTTATATTTAGGATTAAAAAGTATGTAAAAAGTATGTTATTCATGGTATGTACTAGGCACTTGGTAAATAGTGGCCAAGATAATGTCTATTCAATTATAGATTTTACTATAGTTTTAAATAAGGTAACTAGAGACAGAATTCAGTACCTTATCAGAATATTTTTTAACACTCCAAAAACTGTGATGTGAAATTAATAACATAGTTGATATACTATCAGAACATACGACACCCCCTCTCAATCCCAGAGAGAGAATGGAAAATTAGTTTAACCATTGGCAAAGTGCTTTTTATGTGATTTTTTTTTTGCCACAACTATAACATCATAGAAAGCATAGAATTAAGTTTCTACTATTTTTGTCCCAGGAATTACTGTGTAATGTTAACTATCAGAATTTATATCACAGAAATCAATAGCTAATAAGGAATAGTATTAAGCAAAAGATTTGAACTCTAAATACATCTCTTAGAAGTGCTCGGAAGTATGATATAAAGAAAATAGCACTGAAGTGAAGGTTAAGAGACCTGTATTTTATTTTTAATTCTCTACCATCTTACCATGTGATTTGGGACATATTTCTTAAAATCGCTGGGCTCTACTTTTCTTGACTGAAAAATGAGTAAGTTGGACATGGTGATCTCTGAATTATTAGTGAACTAATTGCCTTAAAAACATCCTGGAAATATTTCATCAAGATATCTGAGAGCAATATCTGACCAAATTGAATGCCAAAGTCAGTTCTTTGCCTGTTCCTGTATAGAAGTGATACCTTTTCTTCAGATGTGAGGGGAACATGATGCGCAGAATAGAACTGCTTGTTGTATTTGATTTTCTTCAGATTATATGCCTATGTACAACACATTAGCCTTTAGAAATGATTGAATTCAATAATCCAGAATGTTCCCGATTATTTTTTATTTAATATATA